ACCCCCCACCCCACCCCGGTCAACCTGGACGATGTCTCGGCGTTTTCACATCCGATTTGAAGAGCAGCGTTAAAGGATGCGTTTCTTTCCTCAAGCTTAATTCAAAATGCATCATCTTTTCAAATTTGGACAGGCAGACGGAAAGACATACAGTGTATCCATGGTTTGTCTTTGATGAGCACTACAAGATTACAGGAATGTTAAAGGGAGTTTGACGGTATCAGCTCCTCAAAACCCTAAATTTCGCAAACATTTGTGAAACTTTCACGTTTTAACAGTAGGTCCTAACTAAATTCTCCTAAACCCAGTCATGTTATAGCCGTGGAATGGCTAAATCTGGACAGATAGCGCCGGTTAGCAAAAATACAAACTGAACATAATATCCCTAATGACTGCCCAGACTTATTTTAAACAAAATTGAAAGATCTGTTCTCCGTCGTTTATCTCAACAGAATTCTCGATTTTATCAAGGCCATTGGACTTTACTCAAAGGTGTAGATATTGCTATTTTAAACGAAATATAAATTGGTTTGTTTTTTACTGAGAATTTTACCCCGAAATTATTAACGTTTTTATCCAGACCATTAAACAAAGCCAAGCCACGCTTTTAAGTCGTGTGGAAGCAATCAACTTGTGTTTCACGCGCTCATATTATATGACCTAATGCAGTTGCGAGCTCCGTAAAACTCTTACCAAACTAAAGTAAATGATATCCCTAACTTTAAAAAAATATGTTTCCTCCTCAGACGGCAAAGTGAAAGTGAGCAAAGAGGGACAATGGCTGACCAACATGGGTGCTGGGAAAGTGTTTGGGGAGCTGGCTATCCTCTACAACTGCACCAGAACAGCTACTGTCAGAGGTTGGTAACAAACTTGTTCTTGTGTCTCTTGGTGTATTTATTTAGGAGTCTTGGGGTCAGCCTGTCTCTTTATGCGTGTATACTGCTGTTCATTTGCACCTCTTTTCGTGTGTCTATAGTATATCTTGATTTCGATAATATGTCTGCCTATTTTTTTCTTGTCTGTATCTCTACAAAAAGCTCCATTATGACTAGATCTATATCACTTCTGTTATCTGCCTTTTTCTTTATCTATCCGTGGCTTTCTCTATTTATCTATATAGGCTAAAGTTTCATTAGCCAATCTCCTCCTTTATTCACTGTTGTCCACTTTCTTTTGTACTCACCTGTACACACATTTAGGAGTAGAACAGGCCCGACCAACATATTATCACATGCACACATGCTCGCCCTCACCTTTACAGTCACTCTTATACTCAGCGACACTCGCAAACTCACACCCACAACATACACACGCACGTACACACACACACACACACACACACACACACACACATGCACGCGCAAGCAAGCAAGCACGCACGCAGCGCTCTCTCTTACTTACAGACACACAAACAGTACTCAACTACACTCACATAATAACGTACATGGACTTCCAGTGTTTTGTCTGCTTGTGTGTCAGTAGGATTTTTTTATTTTATTCGACGGATTGGGGGGGGGGTGGTTTTGTTGGGTTTTTT